GACAAGTATAAGAGTGAAACAGAATGAGTAATGGTAGAAAGGAATATGAAAGATTACAGGGACTGAATACATCTGCGTAAGCCATTGACAACGATTTTGAGCCATGTCACTTATTGTCTCCAGCCATTGATTCTCAGAGTCCCGAGGGCCCCAACCCGGAAGTCTGCATCTCCCTACCTGACTCGGTTTAAGTGTCAAGGATTTCATGGATTGATGCCACGTTTTTGTCTGGCATGGCACCACTTACTCTTTTCCAACCAACCTGCACCTATATCAGCTATTAATGCCCGTCGGGGGAGGCGATGGTTAGGCATGCGCACCACGTCACCTAGCCATCTCAATCTATAGCCTCTTCGATTGATTTTCCCTCCTTGCCCAACACTCTACGCCTAACGTCAACATTACTTACCTCATTATGCCAACTAACGTGAGAAAGAGATCGTAGACATCTATGATCGAAAACAGTCAACCTTTTCGTGTCTTCAACTCGTATTGGCCATGTTTCAGAGCCATAGAGAAGGACGGAGCGAACTGCTGAGCAGTACACACGTCCCTTGGTTGATAGCCGGATGTCACGCCTACGTCAGAGATGGTGTAAGTTAGCGAAAGCAGCCCGTGGTGAGATTTCGTCACCAATCAATCCGTTGGTGCTTATACAACTTCCCAAATAGGTGAAGTGGTCAACATGTTCTATCACTTCACTTCACTCCCTATCACTAAGCTAGGGGTAGACTTAGTCCGGTCCTGTGGCAGCATCTTACATTTTAGAGGGGCGAATCGCATGCCAAACATACGAAGATTGCTGATCAAGGTGTTCAGAAGACTCTGCATTTTGTCAGCATCCTCCCTTAACAGGACTATGTCATCTGCATATTCTAAGTCCATAAGACTATTCCCCTGGTAGCCAGTCGATTCCTAAGTCGTTAAGTTCAGTTAAGGATACTTCTATTAACATATCTATGATGAAGTTAAACAGAAATGAAGAAAGTGGACATCCTCGACGGACACCACTGGTTGTTATCAATTTAGATGACAATTCCCCATAAGCTCTTATACGGCTACGTGAGTTTGATTAGTGCAATGTACTTTCTTGGCACTCCCTTCACAGTCAAGTACTGCCATAGTACCTTTCGATCCAAGGAGTCGAAGGCCACCTTCAAGTCAAGAAATATGGCAATTGTTGGATGCCTAAAAGTGTGTCTATGTTTTAGGATCTGTCGGAGAGTGAAGATATGGTCTATGCACCCTCTACCTGGCCTAAAGCCTGTTTGATTTTCCCACGTTTGTTCCTCCCGAGTTCGGATTAGTCTGTGCATGATTACTGAGCCTAGGATTTTAGAGACTATGTTCGTCAGGCTGATCCCTCTATGATTATCACATTAGGACTTGTCTCCCTCCTTGAATATTGGTATAATAAGTGACTTACCCCAATCTGATGGAACCGTCTCTGATTCACAGAAACGGTTACATATTTTGGTCATTATGAGGTGGCTATTTCAGTGTATCTTGTCTTGGTTGGGTTGGTTCTGATTGAATTCTAACAGTCATGTTAACGATATGACCACCGAGGCAGGTAATTCTCCTCTGCTATGCAATTAGGTGATTGCGTGCAGTCATCAAGAAGCCCTGGACTTATATTTCACCAAAGTGTATTTGTGACTCCAGGGAGGATCAGGTGAAGTGGGGATAAATTCACAACCTGATGTCATTGGCTAGTGCCAGTCGCACTAAAATCAAGAATCCATGGACTATTGAGTCAGTTCCTAGTGGCTGGATAGTCTACAAGCTCTCCTCGTAACTCGATTGAACAGTCTGTGATGAGTTTTTCTTTTAATACCTTCACGTTCCCCAGTGGAACATAGGGCTTCAAGCTAGTGGCTTGAAGTTTCTGTAGCAGTGTTTGTTTTTACAGGATGGGGTTGCTAGCCTCATGCCCAACCTTCCCTCTTCGCCAGTTCTATTACCGGCTTAGTGAGGTAAAGGAGTGCGTTGGCAGGGGATCGAACGCCGGACCTTGTGCATGGTCGACGAGCATCCTAACCGCTGTGCCACCAACGCACTTCTTAGCTCAGAGAGCCGCGTACCGCCAATTCAGTTCCAAGTACTAGGATGAAATGGCCTCCAAATAGTACTCCCTGTTGGTTTTCAAAGGTTGTCTAATTGATATTAATCCATGACCAAAACAAACTCTTGATGATTTTGAGCAGTTTTGCTGGCAAATAATGATCTCATATTCCACTGGGGACTAGACAACAATCAATATATCATACTGAGCATTACCTAAACCCTCGCGTTAACTATTATCCCTCAACCAGAACATACAACTTAAGAATTATTGATCTAAAAGAATTTCATTTAACTCTAACAACAATAGTATCACAGTACGAATACCTTTGATGGCATTGTTGGCTCTGCGTTGATGACACAGTGGTAGAATGCTCGCCCCCCCCCCCGGCTTGCAGATGATTCGAGGTTCATTCCCTGGCCAACGTACACTCCTTCACATTTCTAAGCCAGTAATAAGACTGGTAAAGAGGCAAGGTTGAGTGAGCATGAGGCTAGTTAGCAACCCTCATCCCGTAAAAATAAATACCACTGTTACCGAAACTTCAAGCCTCTAGCTTGAAGCCCCCTATGTTCGAAGAATATCAACGATTTCGGTATAAACAAGATCCTACTGTGTTCTAGTAGCATAAATCATTGACGTGTTGCACGCGTCTGTTCAATGAGTTGCTATAAGGTAAGAAGTCAATGATTATACATGCTGTCTACTGTGGCACAGTGGTTAGGACTCTCGCCGACCATGCACATGGTCCGGGGTTCGACCTCCTACCGACGCACACCCGATATCTATGGTTGGCATGCAAAATTTGGGCTACCAATATCCATGCTCAAAAATTCCATACTTGTACTGAAAAAACGGTGTGGCTTCAAGCTGTAATCAAAAAAAATATAAAAAGTAAAAAAAATATCAGTGGTATAGGAATATAGTAACCCTTTTCAGACAATCAGTGACAATTTGTGTATCACTGAAAACGCTGATGTAAAAAAAACACTTGAAAACACTATGAAGTAACCAACGTGTCTTGTACAGAACGCCTGACACTATGTCCACATGTTGAAATCAACATAACAGCTCATTGTATTGATGAAACCGAATGTAATTTCATACATTTGGTTCCCTTGATAAATTTCGATAAAGAAAGGAAGACAAAATTTGCAGTATAAAATGATATCATTCTACTTCACAGGTTCTCATCAGCTGCAGACTACCTGAAATTACAATGGTTATTATTATTATTGTTCCCTTGAGTTCCTAGTGGAACACAAGGCTTCAACTACACGTCTCCACTTGCTTCTGTCTTCTACTGTACTTTTCACCTGCATCCATGGTAATCCACACTGTTTCAATTCCTCTTCGCACGATCTCCTCCATGTCACCCTTGGACATCCCACTCGCCGCTTCCCTTTCGGGTTCCACTGGTCTGACGTGCGATGTCACCCAGCGGCCTCCCCAGCGAGTCTCCAATCCATTTCCACTTTCTCCTGCATATTTGTTGGGCGATCGGTTCTTGTTATGTTTGTTTGTTCCCATAGTTTCTTGTTGGTGATTCTTTCCGGCCATCTGGTCTTGAGTATAGAACGAAGACAGTTGTTGATAAAGGTCTGCAACAGGCTGTTGGAAATATTCTTTGTGACCCGCCGCCAAGTTTCTGATCCATCCGTATAGAAGAACTGACTCACTTGACGTTTGTATTGAAAATCTGAATTTTGTTGTTGATGCAGGCTGAGTGACAGCGGAAGATTTCCAGATTGGTTTCAGGTTGATGAATGTGTTTCTCGCCTTCCCGATTCTCGCTCGATTTGACATCTTCGTCCGTTCCTCCTGTAGTTGAGACAATGCTCCCTAGATAAGTGAATGAAGTAACCTCTTTCAAATCCTCTCCGTTGATGGTGATTGGCGTTGAAATTACAATGGTTACATAGATGATAATAACATACTTTAATGTTTAAGTGGTAGTAGAGATGAAACACTATAAAAATGATCCATCCAAAATGTAGGCATTACAATTTTTTGTTGTTTAAGTTTTCATCACCAATTTATACGTCTTTAAAGTAGAAAAGGGCGTGGGGAAGGGTAGGACAGAAAACAGAAAAGATCAACAAAAAGTGTTAGCATGTAGGTTCACATTGCAACTCAAAAAAAAAAAAGCAGTTACAGTTTTTAAGATTGAGATTTGTTCAGTGAGTTGAGATCACTGAATTAGGTGACTAATTAATTATTAATGTGTTCGAAATCAAAATTCAGTTACCAAGGCAGTGAGAGATTAATCACACTCTCTTTCTGTAGGCATAAGTCTGGTAGGGGTTGGATCGCTTGATTGCGATCGCTTTGGCAAATTGGCGTAAATTTGCTGTCTTTTGTCCTTTGTAATTTCAGGCAGTGTGGTGTGCAGCTGACGAGAACCTGTGAAATAGAATGATGATACTGCAAATTTCGTCTTCCTTCCCTTATCGAATGTGATCTGTTTTCACCAATCTTTTTCTCTTCCATACTGTCACATTCAATTCCCATCATCTTAATCCCACTACAGTAATCAATTATGTTGTTCAGTTACCTTGTCCATGTGTATATATTTTTTTTCTATCACACTTCTACTCTTGACAAGTGTTCCACACTTGAATCGTCCAGCCGACGACCCTTAATCGCCGAAACATTCACCTTTCTGGTTCATAAAATCCTTCTCTCCATAGTCAAAAGTAATAATAATTGAAGAGAGACTGGTTTAAACTTATTTTTCCCGCCTTCTTCACCACAAGAACTTACTTAGTCAAGCAGTCAAGCAGCTAATTAGTCAACGAACAAAATAAATCAATAAATTATTGATCTATCTTTGCTGATTATTCCTTTTTGTTTTGTTGTTAATAAAACAACACAACTTGTATGCATATGAATAAATATATTTTGGTATATTATTATTATTGTTGTTGTTTATTAGCCCCGCTTGTGAATAATGCATCGGATATTGCAGCATATTTTGAATCCGGTAAGTGGAAGATAATAATAATATGTCAGGCATATATATATATGTGCATATATCTACATTTTGAATATGACAATAATTAATTTCTATTCATCCCCCATATTCATAACTTGTCGAATTCTGACTATGTCTTTATCGAACACTTTTTAAAATATACATCTATATTCGATCCGCTTGACACCAAATTGTTCCAGGGAAGAGATGGTGACTAACATCGAGGTATAAGAGCGATGAACTGTTGACGAAATAATATATATCAAATTATTGCCGTCCGTATAAAACTGTATATTTTTTATTCAATTATCAAAACAATGCTTTCTATTGGTTAATTCGAAAAAAATGTGGGAATTTTAAATATTCTAAATATCATCTTTTGGATTAATTTATTTCCTCTTTCAAAGATACAACTTGTTACTTGTTATTTATTTAGATCATATTTAGATCATTGCAAATATGATGAATTAGTTTAATAACTAAATTTAAACGCGATACATGTATCGATTTTGGCTAAAAATGAGTAAATAAACAAAATAATTGAGCAAAGAATATCCTTTTCGATAATTTCCTCCTCTTCTGGCTCTACAATTATATATATATATATATGTGTTTATATACATAGAATATTCTAGAATAGTAGTCAATAGCAATATTAGTGTTTTTTAAATAATATCGATTTGTAAAGTAAGATCAGTGGAATTACACTTCATCAAGAAGCTTAAATTATAATAATAATAATAAAGATATAATAGCAAATAGAATATCAAATAAAATTAAGGAAATTTCCACAACCAATTGAGGACCATTCAAACCTAGATGACCAAGGTAAGAACAATGTCTGAACTAACTTCTTTTGGACGCACAAATTAAGCTTCTCAATATGGATCCCAACAGCCTCAGCAGTATGTGTAATAGATGAACTCTTAAGGCGAAATTGAGATTTGTTGGTATGCGGTAAATGACTTTTAATGCCTGGTTAACATCAATCTTGTGTTCTGTATCTATTCGTAGTGCTATTCTATCTCATCTTATGGATACAGAACACAAGATTGATGTTAACGAGACAGCTTTCAAAGTCATTTACCGCATACCAACAAATCTTACCTTCGCATTAAGAGTTCGTCTATTACACATATTGCTGAGGCTGGCTGTTGGGATCCATATTAAGAAGCCTAATTTGTGCATCCAAAAGAAGTTAGTTCAGACATTATCCTTACCTTGGCCATCTAGGTTTGAATGATCCTCAGTTGGTTGTGGAAATTTCCCTAATTTTAGTGGATATTCTATTTCCTATTATATCTTTATTATTATTATGATAATTTAAGCATCTTTAATGAACTGTAATTCCATTGTGATCTTACTTTACAAATCGATATTATTTAAAAAACCCTTAATATTGTTATTGACTACTATTCTAGAATATTCTATGTATATAAACACACATGTATATAATTGTAGAGCCAGAAGAGGTGGAAATTATCGAAAAGGATATTCTTTGCTCAATTATTTTGTGTTTCATAGATAGCCGTCTGAATGAATATTTTCGCTAATATTTGAAATCAGTAGTGAAACGAATGAAATGAAAGTTAAATTGTTCAAGGTTTTTGTTGCATATTTTGAGTTCTTTCCTCCTGTTTTCACTCCTAATGAATCAGTTATCCAAGCTTGATTATCTATTTTTTGTTTAGTATTAACTGAATTTTTAAATTAAATATATATTTTAACACATTTTAAAGGATAATTTTTGTTTTATATCAAATCAACAACCGTTGAGTATATTCACCATAAAAATGTCATCACATTCAGTGTGTTTAATCTGCTAATCTAATCACCTACTAATACCGACTATAATCCATTCGATTTTTTTCAGTATATACACTTGTTTATTTGTGTGTGTGTGTGTGTGTGTGCGGTGTCTTTCCCTATATATCTCTCCCTCACTTTCCTTCTCCACAGTCATTCTTCCCAAAACGTGTAACTTATTTACCCCCATGATTATTTATGCACATATAGAATGTCCGCATGCATTTGTGTGTATTTTTTGCCCGCCTACACGTATTATGCTTAAACAGTGCTGGTTTTGTTTTTGGCTTTCAGTGTTATTCTTGACAATGAGATTCTCCTGTCACCGAATATATTTTCTGACACATCAATGTTTGGACATTAACTAGTGTCATGTGTCCTTTGTGCCCCTTTGTTTACTGCAGACTGAATTCTATCAGTTAAGTGCGGAATATGACCCACCACCACCATGCTAAGCGGTTACCCATCAGATTAACTTTGGATTGTTGTTGGGGGCAATCGGCCACAGGAAGCCTTGCTTGACCTAGGGTTTCGTGCTAGTTGGCACTCATCAGTCAGTCATCAAGGCGTACCTACAACCTTGAAGGAACAGCTCATGTCCCTCCTTCTGAGATTCAAACCCGCGTTGTAACCCAGTGCTGCAGTCAGAGATATAATCACTGAGCTATTCAGGCTAGCAATTGACCTACTGTAGGACTTTAGTGGGTATTTGGATTGGACACTAGTAACTAGTATGACGTGTCTAGTCCTTTCTTTCATGCAGACTGAATTCTATCATCAGTCAGGTTTGCAATCTGGCCACCATTTCACTAGGTAGCTCCCCATCACGGTGCACATTGATTTGATGATATTAGATAGTTGGAACCAATCGACAGGAGGTCAATCGCGAGCCCGAATAGCCAGCTCAGTGGTAATATCTCTGACTGCAGCACTGGGTTGCAACGCGGGTTCGAATCTCAGAAGGAGGGACATGAGCTGTTCCTTCAAAGTTGCAGATACGCCTTACTGACTGACTACTGGTGAGTGCCAACTAGCACGAAACCTAGGTCAAGCAAGGCTTCCTGTGGCTGATTGCCTCCAACTATCTAATTATTGTGCACCGTGATGGTGAGCAGCTACCTAGTGGAATGGTAGCCACATTGCAAACCTTACTGATAAGATTCATTCTGCAGCAAAGAAAGGACTAGACACGTCACACTAGTTACTGACTAGTGTCCAATCAAAATACTCATCGATGACACTGGCTGACAGTGGCCAGATATGTCGAATATTAGCAGAAGTTGAAAAGCTTTTGCCGCTGAATTATGTCCTCATGGTTGAATGGTTAACGTGGTCACTTGATAGTGTGTGAATAGCTTGTTTTCGACCGCCAGTGGGATAGTAGTAGATGCTTTCTGTTGAATCGCCACAAACTAGTTAGTTTATTTCATTCATCAATTTCGTGACTACTTTCCATCAAATGGATGATATACAAAAGGTAGCCTCTCACTGAATGATGACAGAGAGGTGACTGAAGCTGTAAATTTTGCTCTATATCACAGTTCTGTATCAGGTGGTGGATACGTTATATTTGAATAAAGCAAGAACAACTGTGATTTGGGCAGAATAAAATGGTACCATCAGTGTTTATTTCGTTGACTTCCTTCTCATCAGCTGCTTACAGGCCAAAGTCATTATTAATTATATCTACAGAAACAATTTTAACAAACTTGCACAGAGTTTATTTTAAACAAAAATCAATCAATATGTGCATGCAGTAATTATGTATATAATATTTAACAACATTCCTAACAATAATAATCATACACAATAGAAACTTTCAGCACTGCTCATTCATACATTTATTCCCCTTAATGAATTTGGAAAAAGCAAGAACTATAGTTTTAGCAGCTTGTTCCCGTCTATCGAACAGCTTGCTCTTTAATGTAATCAAAACTCGATAGATATCCTTCTCATGTTAACTCCAACTGTATATACAAATTTACATATATCTGCGGGAGCAGTTACATTGGAAGGAAAGAAAGAAGGGCATATCTACGATTTTCTGAACATGTACCAAAAAGCTTGTGTATAAAGGGGACAAATGCTTTAAACAGTGCCACCGCCAGGCATCTCCTCGACACGGGTCATGAGGTGGATGTCGAAAAGTCGTTCAAAATTATCAATAGGAGAAAGAGCTCAATTCTGCTCAAGTTTGCTGAAGCCATTTGCATCAAGCGCCTGAAACCTGATTTGTGCGTTCAGAAAGAAGCAGTTATCAGTCTTTTTTTGCCCTGGTAACTAGATATTTTTCATCCGAATGTGAGATGCTGAAATGTTTTCATTGTGTATGATTATTATTGTTCGGAATTGTGTTTAGTATTGCATATATACATATATATGTATATATTATTACTGTATGCATATATTAATCGATTGATTTTTGTTTAAAATGAACTCTGTGCAAGTATTTTAAAAGTGTGTTTGTAGATACATTTAGTAATGTCTTTGGCCTGTAAGCAGCTGAGGAGAAGGCAACGAAATAAAAGATGGTACCATTTTATTCTGCTAAAACTGTAGTTCTTGCTTTGTTCAAATTGCTCATTCAGGTGAAAGAGCGAGGAAAATACCCAGTTACCAGGCAGGGCAAGGAGAGACTGATAACCACTTCTTTCTAAACTCATAAATTGGGTTTCAGACGCTTGATGGAAATTGCTTTGGCAAACTTAAGGAGAAATGAACTCTTTTGCCAGTTGATAATTTTGAAACTTGCGACATCCACCTTATGACCCGTGTCATGGAGATGCCTGGCGATGACACTCTTGAAAGCATTTGTTCCCTTTAGACATAGACTTTTTGGTACATGTTCAGAAAATTGGAGGTATGCCCATATATATATCACGTATATTTATTTAGTCCAATTTTTCACTTTTAACACTAATATTTTGTTCAATGATTTATTGATCTGTAAAGTTGAGTTTGACTTGCCAAATTATTTTCATTTGGCTACTGTTCAAGTGTGATCACGTGATGTGATCATCTTACACAGAGAATATGTTTTGTCCTTTGCTAATAATCACAAGGTCATCGATGCGATTAAGTCATGATTGTCTAAGTGCATAGTGTGAAACAATCCACCTATCAAATGGCTGATTGCGCCATATAAGTGCTACACAAATAATTTTAATTATTCTAGGAATAATACATGCAATCATCCCTTTAAACACAAAGACACAGGCACCGTTTTGTGGGTTTTTAATATCTCTGCATAGGTAGCTGTTAGGGGGCGATTGAGAGGCTTGTAAGGTTTGCTTGACACATAAGCTTTATGTTTGCTTGCACTTGTCAGCAAAGTGTATCTCCAGCGTTGAAGGAACTCGTGTCCCTCCGTCTGAGATATGAACCTGCGTCACCCAGTGCTGCAATCAGAGACGTAACCAGCGAGATATTTGGGCGCTGACTGCAGCGCTTGGTGGCAAGGGCTCCAATCTCAGAGGGGACATGAAATTCGTCAAGATTGTAGGTATGCCTTGTTGACTGGTGAGTGGTGACAAGCACGAAATCTGGGTCCAAGGCTTCTTGCCGGCTGCTCCTAGTTGTTGTACGTCGTATTGGCACTGTCTCGGCTAGTGATGTTTCCACTACCTGTTATACTAACTGACTCCTGTGGTGATGACAGTGACAGATGGTTGTAATATGCGGAATTATGCTTCCAACAGTTTTGTGAATGTGTTAATTGAGTGAGCCATCCCCTCTGAGTTCTCTGTAAATGAAATTACTTAGCACCTCTATCTCCTTTTGTTTGTTTCTGTTATGCAATCACTTTATAACTGCTTCACGACTGAACCACCATAATAGCACAAGCATATTAACAAGCTGTAACACTGAGACATTTATTTGTTTATTTAACAAAACTACACAGCAGTCAGTATGTATATTATGCGATAGCGTTATCTGTTTCTTACAGCTAATTAAATCAATAGTGAATAACAAACATCTAGAGAGACTGATTAGTGGGTGTAATGACTTCACTAAAACAAAATCTCTTCATGCAACCTGATATTAATTTATTGATGAATTAAAAGTTGAGTTTGAGAAGAATAATGTGCTCTTTCTGCAATTAAAAAAAGAATCACCTAAAAACATTTAGACAACCAAACCAGTTATTTTCAAGTATTGGTTTTGTAGAGATTGTGTTTGACTGGTTGGATGATTTCATCATGAGTTGATATCAGTTAGAGAACCATTGGAAACCACCTGGAAATACCGAATGGCCAGCTGTTTTATCCTAGTTTGGTACTCCTCATCAGTACACACCCACCAGAGAAGGTTCGAACCCACAACCTTCTGGTTACAAGACGAGCTGGCTAGTAGACCATTCAGCAGCTACTGAGACTCAACCCGATCTAATGGCCAGCCAGCCAGTCCATGAATTCTAACTTCTCCTAATTCATGACATAGCCTGACCACTTCCCAATGTCTTCTTCGATGAGTTACTGCCTCATCTTCAACTAGCTGTAGCCTACTGGTGATGATATAATCCTCCAACCAATCAGAGGAAAAAATTCCTACAAAATCAATACTTAAAAAATTGATGTCATGCTCGCTTGTGACTAGCCCCATTCAGGCAGTTAGTTGCCTGGGGTTCTAGTGGGAAGCTGTGACCAGTAGGGTACAGCACATTGAAGGTGAGGCAGTAACTCATCGAAGAAGATATTGGGAAGTGGTCACGCTATGATATGAATTAGCAGAAGTTATAATTCATGGGCTGGCTGGCTGGTCATCGGATCGGGATGGGTCCCAGTGGCTGCTGAATGGTCTACTAGCCAGCTCGTCTTGTAACCGGTAGATCGTGGGTTCGAACCTCCTGTGGTGGGTAGGTACTGATGAGGAGTCCCAAATACTAGGACAAAACAGCTGGCTGTTCAGTACTCCTTGCATGTTTTCCAATGGTTCTTTAATTGATGTCAGCTCATGATGAAATACTCCAACCAAACCAATTATTATTGGAAGGGACTTAAGTCGATGTTTCACAACAGAAGACACTAGCATTCGATGAATCAATGGTCAAGAATATATTCAGCAGAAACTGTGTCATTAGTACACTAGTTAGTCATCCACCTCCACCAATACTGATCGCTAGTCAAGCCAAAGTGATGTGAACACCGCACAGCTGAATTTTTCAACGGTTTGCTCAGTTTGACTGAGCACAGACAGCCCAATTAGTTCAAACCACTCGGAATTTAACTATTTAACTTGAGCGCCCTCGTGATCCGTAGAATCGAATTCCTAATTTGCACTACACACAATTAAAGGTGACAATTCACCACAGTTTCCTTCGATGTCATTTGAATCATATTGTCAGAAAGTCGTGATGGTATAGGTAAAGACTGTCACTGGGTTGCTGGTGGCTAGGCATTTGAATCCAGGATGCACGCCTTCTCCTGTCTACCAGACTGTAACTCATTCCACTTGTCTAATGTCCCATTGACAGCACTCACCCCAATCCAAACAAGTAATGTCAACATTTATCTCAAGGCATCATTGAAGAATTCATGCCAGGAGCCAGCATATGCACAGACAGCAAGCAAGTGTTGCTCAGTCCAACATAATCAATCACCAGAGAGAGAGAAATTCGAAATAACTTCAGCAAATAGTTCCTACATCCTACAGAAAAGGGTTTTGCTTTCCTTTCATTTCAGTAGTAGTAGTTTAACCTTGAGAATTAAACTACTATGAGTGACATTTCTGATCACGTGATCAATATACACAAAAAGAAGGCGAAAAAGCATGAATTAGTTTGAGTTAATAACCATTTTGTTTTTCACTCAATCATACGTGAAAATGACGTCAAAGTTTAAAAAATTAAGATGAAAGTTTGCAAAAGAAACTGAAAAAGAATAAATCATGTGTGTGCGTGTGTCAAACTTTAAAGAATTCTTATTAGTGCATAAGTTTATATGAGATTGAACACTGACCCAAGGTTAAAAGAGTTATACGCGACTCAGCCCATCCTGTTTGACAGAATAACTCGTATTCAGATATTCAAGTGTTGGCTTTTGGGGATTGGACTGGTTTCAGGATTTCATCATCAGCTGACATCGGTTAGAGAACCACTGGAAAACCACCACTGGAGTACTGGGCAGCTGTTTCGTCCCAGTTTGCGACTCTTCATCAGTACGCTCCTACCACAGGAGGCTCAAACCCGGGAACTTCTGGTTACAAGGCGAGCTTGTAGACCATTCAGCAGCCACTGGGATCCAATCCAATGGCCAGCCAGTCAGTCCATGAATTCTAACTTCTGCCGATTCACAAGATAGAGTGACCACTAGTCAATGTGATCGCTGGCAAGCATTTTGGTTGATGTTGACTGGCAATGAAATTCACAACAGGAACCCGTCAACTGGATGCATATACATCCCACCATCCAACACTTAACGCATTTCAAATAAGATAAAATGCATGCTGTTGATGACAAATATTATCAATAACCAACCAGGTAGCAGCATGTTAGTTTGAAGGTCTTGTTGATGCGTTCGAACTGGAAGTTGACATGTCAGAAGTAACCAAGCATTTCTGTCCAATTAAATTAAATAATCAAGGAGGGATTCAGAACATCTTAAATTAAATTTGATAATTAGGAAATCTTCCGCACTCAGCATAAGGAACAAGATTCACATTTTCAACACCAATGTCAATTCAGTTAGTTCTTCAATATGGGTCAGAAACTTGGCCAGCGTGTCACGAAAAGGATTTCCAACAGGCTATGGCAGACTTTATCGCTGGCTCCATACTGAAGATCAAATGGCCGACTGGTCAGAAAGAATAAGCAACAAGAAACTCTGGCTGGGAACCAGCCAACAGGTGAGAGCCGATCGCTCAACAATTATGTAAGAGAAAATGGAGGTGAGTGGATCGGGTATACATTGAAGAGACCACCGAATGACATCGCACACCAGGCCACAGCTCGAGTGGAATCCCAATGGGAAGCGACGAGTGGGTCATTGGTGAGAGGCTGACACGGAGGAGATGGTGTGGCGGAGAAGAGATGAGAGAGTTTGGTGAATCGTGGACCCAGCTGAAGAGGACGGCAGAAAATAGAACAAAGTGTAGATGTATTGTTGAAGCCCTATGTTCCACTCGGAACGCACGGGAATAATAATAATAACTAGAAAAAGGATACAAAATTCATTTTTAAAAAAAGGAAAAGCTGATTATTTTCAGAATCAGGTTTTACTCTTTTATGTCTCTGTTTCAACAGTATGTAGGTAGTAATAACTGTGCATACTTTTGGTTTACTTCATGTGAAATACTAAACTACTAGAGGTTGAGCAGTTTCAATGTTGGTTAGGCGTCTTTTATACTGCAGTCCTAACATCTCAAATATGAAGCGTGGACAGTTTGTCCGCACCATGCACATGATCTGGGTTCGATCCCTGCATGTGTATCCGATCAGAATTAGGTAGGAAGGAACAGTTACTCAGGCGTACACCTAAGTAGATAAAAAAGGTATTTTTCTGCAGCTCTGGTTGTCATGCCACCAGGATTCTCAGATATCCTACTGGTGTTAACATTTGTACACAGAAATAACATTGTCTCATAAAGCAAACAGATACGCAGCCAGTTTTCAGTATTTTTTTAAGCCCAGTTATGTGGGCCAAATATGATAGGTAGGCACCTTGCAATAGTCACCAGGATAGACTGGATAATCGTCCAACAGAATGATACACTGTACGAGAAGGAAATCCTAGTTTTCGCTTTCTTGAGCATGTCGAAGATCAATTCGAAGACAGTCACGTTTTATCATCCCTAAACAATTTTTCTCCTCAATTTCTTTTATTCTTATTGATTTTTTGTAAAATAATTTTATGGTTAATTGATTAATTGATGTGTTATTTTTAGCGTTTAAAAGACTAAAAGGTAGTCAACGTCAATGGTATGTTTTTGAAGAGTCGACTTTAAAACTGTTGGCTTATCGAAATGAATTAGAAGCGGCTATACCAGATAAAGAACCTTTAAAAGTGATCAATATACATGGAGCTGTATTTCATATTGATCCTGCTGAACATAATCAGTTTAGTATTATGTAAGTTGATTAGATAAGACTTAAAATTGTTTTTTAGATTAGATTTTTTGTTTAAATTCTCCAATATGTTTGCACTTTAAAGGCGCTAAAATTCACCGGTTTAAATTTATTCCGGAATAACCAGATGATTGATAGTTTAAGTGTAGAATTTCTTCACAAAAAAACCATAAAGCACTGGACAGCTTGTTTTTCCCTAGGAAAGCCTGTTAATCATTCGGCCAGGTCCCATGGACTCTTCCCTCTGTCTATTAGCAATATAGCGCCTCCATCAGTCAATGCCTTCTGTAAGGCATCCGCTTCACACGAGACATGATAGACTTCAGCAGGCAGAGCCGCTGAGTACAGCTTTCAAACATACATTCTGAAGCAGTTAATGAGCAGAAGAGTGATCGATGAACTTTAGGTTTCTTGGGAATTCGATAGATTTCTGTGTGAATGCTGTCAAGAATCAATACTGGTTAGAAAATCATTGAAAAGCAGTAGGCAGTGAATAGGTGATTCTTTCTTGAAGTACGCTAATTTATGCCAACAGAATCATAAATTTCTTTTATTCACTAAGTGTCTGGATGTAAAGAACAGTCAATATATATATATATAATTTATTATTTTATTTTATTTATTCCTTTACGTTCCCAGTGGAACATAGGGGGCTTTAAGCTAGAAGCTTGAAGTTTCAGTAGCAGTGGTATTTATTTTTACGGGATGAGGTTGATAGCCTCACGCCCAACCTTCCCTATTTACCAGTCTTATTACTGGCTTAGCGAGGTAAAGAAGTGCGTCAGTGGCTGGCTGGGGATCGAATCCCGGACCACCTGCGTGGTCGGCGAGCATTCTACTGCTGTGACACCGACGCACATATATACATACATATACATATATAAGCGCATATTGGTTACGAGAAGGTGACCAGTAAAAAACGTTATCCGTGAACTGACTCTGACATTCCATTATGGAGGAAATTTATTTGAGAAAGACTCACAGTTTTATACAGTTAAATATACTCATGGAGTTTCGAGCACTGTCATTTCAGGTTACACACACACAATTTTCTAGCTTCGTTTACATAATTCCACTATTTCTCATCTCCTGATATAACTGGTAGTAGTAATATTTCCCATATTTCTGGTAGGAGTGATGAGTAATTCCTATTGCATGTGTTAGGTGTAGATTCGACCTCTCTTTCCACCCATCCATATAACTATAGAGAGTTTTTTTTTAATCTGTCCCACCCAATTATGTGGTTGTGTGATAATGAATGCAGTGTTTTATAAATTACTTATCGTCGAGGCAGGGGGCAATCATTCTAACCTTACCTAAATTATTGTGCTCTGATAACCTCACTACTCCTGCCTCATCTACTAGTTTGACCTATGTAGCTGGTCACACGCACAGTCATTGCACGGTATTCTGTAAAACCCATTATTTTTTGTTTAATTGAGTCAACCTACAGGATCCTTCGACCTACAGAGCTTGTTTGATCCGAGTGAAGTTTTCAGTTTAAATACCACCCTAATCCCTGCTTTATTGAGAATTCTACGTAAAGAGGGTCTAAGATATCCCCTCCATATATGGTAAAACTACTGTAGGTGCCTCATATTCTTTCTTATTTATCTTATCATTATTTATTTCACCATTATTTTGCTTATAACTTTTTTTGATATTCCTAATGAATTTTATAGGATAGTTATTTAACACCAACCAGCTATTCTTCTATCGGTTTCATTTCATCGTTTAAGGTTTTTGTTGTACAACTTAGTGTTGTTATTGCTCTGCTAGTTAGACACTTAACTAAGCCTGCCTTCACAGGTAGATAACGGATGAGATGAATTAAAGAAGTCTAAATATCTTTTGGCAGAATCCGTTGACATTTTATAAACGCTGGTGTTCAGTTTACCTTCTTCTGTTCGCTTAATTTTACAATCAGACATCATGGCGAATTCTCCTTGTTCATTTTCCGATTCAAATGTGAATGTTATTCCCTTTACTAGTGAGTTTATGTGTGTGTGTGTGTGGAGAAGCCAGAGGTGTGTTGTTTTCAACACTGTGACAGTGTCATCCACAAATGTCCACTATATCTTTTGAGCAGGATTTAAAGCACTGAGAACCATATTTTTCCAGGCAACCATAAAGATGTCTGGGAAAGTAATAGAAGTAGGTGGAGAGAAAGAGGTTGTTCGCTGAATCTCTGTCCATCGAATCTGCACCCAACACACACGAGATAGGAATGACTTATCGCCTATACCATAGATATGGAAAATACTACTACCAATCAAATCGAGAGATGAGATATAATGGAATTATAGAAATGAAGTTGGAAATTTGTGTGTGTGTGTGAGTGTAACTTGATATGATTATGAGTAACAATAGATTGTGCTCGAAACGCCATCAGTATATATCACTGCATAACACTGTTAGACATTTTCAAAATAAACTCTCCCCATAATGGAATTATAGTCTACCAACACACTGACCAAGTTCTATTCTTATACGCCTCTAACATTGATATCCAAAATGGAAATGAAAACAGCTGCACCGTTCATAAATATTTCATGTCACTTAGCTTAATAGGCACATTCTAAGTATATAATTGAATTTTAGGTTTTCCCGTCAATTGATTGGACCGAAGTACTCGGTCTCAAGTTGACATATTTGTCGGCTTCTTGTGAAGATGCTTCGACGATGTCTTGGCATGTAATTAGAAATTAATTTGTGAATGGTGACTAGCACTGGAATCCAGGATAACGCGCATTTCGTCCTACTTCGGACTCGTCAACTGGATGTACCTATATTCCTCAGTGAGTGATGATGTTCCCAGGGAGGCTCGAATCCAGTGCTCATAGTTTCAAGAGGTGGCCAGCTCTCGTGGCCCAAATGGTCTATTAAATAACGCTCTGGCGTTTGAAACTATGGGCACTGGGTTCGAGTCTCGTTGGGAACATCATCACTCACTGCGGAATGCAGGTGAATCCAGTTGACGAGTCCCAAATAGGACGAAATGCACATCTTGGTGAATTCCACTGCTAGTCAACATCCACCAATTAAATTCTACATTCTATCTATCATTGTAAAAACTTCCGGACAACTATTTGTTTACCTTCCTTTCAGACAAAATCTAATGCTACTCAACATGTTACTTCAATATTGATAGAGGATAACTTTGGGAATCAGTTAGATTTCAGCCGTGATTATCTTAATATAGCGGTTACATACAATCAATCACTTTTTCACTTTTCAATAACACAGCATAAATGTTTTGTATTAAGTAGTATTCACTGTTTCACATAATTTTTAATTATATCGAACTATTAACATGAAATTATCTCACTGTTGTATGTGTTTGTGTGTGTGTGCGTGTACGAACTATTTATAATTTCACAGGTCAGATGGAAAGGAGCATATTCTTCAGGCTGAAACAGAAGAAGCTATGCTACTTTGGCTTCATGTTCTACAGGTAGGTTAACCAATGAATTGTTACATTGATTAAAGAGGGTTTTGTTTTATTCAAAGTTTAACTAACATATTTGGCGATTTTTCGAATGTCTAGTTTCAAGGATTAGACTGATTTCCACTTAGACGTAATCACAAACCAACTGATTTCATTTATAAAACACAAAATAATTGAGCAAAGAATATCCTCTTCGATAATTTCCTCCTCCTCTTATGGCCCTACAATCATATACATGTGTGTTTATATACATAGAATATTCTAGAATAGTAGTCAATATCAATATTAGTGTTTTTTAAATAATATCGATTTGTAAAGTAAGATCAATGGAATTACAGTTCGCGGAAGATGCATAAAATATGATAAGCATAAAATTGTAATAAGAAATAGAATATCAACTAAAATTAAGGAAAATTCCACGAAAATTGAGGATCATTCGAACCTAGATGGCCATGTGGTAAGGACAATGTCTGAACTAACTTCTTTTGGAGGCACAAATAAGGCTTCTCAATATGGATCCCAACGGCCAGTCTCAGCAATATTTAGTAGACGAACTTTTAAGGCGAAACTGAAATTTGTTGGTATGCTGTAAATGACTGAAAGCATGGTTAACATCAATCTTGTGATCTGTATCCACAAGATGAGATAGAATAGTGCTACGTCAATAGATTTTGTTCGATCTTTACTTAACCACACAGGTTGATGTTGGAAATTTGATGAGAAACATGCCTAATTGTACGGCCTATGCAACTAACTGGCTCACTCCACAGGAGCAGTTGAACTTGTAGATACACATGAAAGAGGCGAAGTTAGGCAGTTTGTGTTTTACTCCCGAACGTAAAATAGGGGTGGTTTTGAAGACACAGCGTAATTCGGCAGCAGGGAATGCTCTTTTTACCGCATTTCTAAGGCGCTGTGTTAGTATCTCGCTGATGTTGTCCCCAAGGAACTGCATTTGTAAGAATAAGGCCCTTCTAAGAACTGTTGGTACCTTGAGCTGCTTTGATTTTTGATTCATATTCTTACCAATAAACTTTTCTGGAGAACCGTTGTCACTCAGCAACCGTTTAATATTATTAAGTTCCTCATCAAGACATTCATCCGAGCAGATTGTTCTTGCTCTGTGAACTAAGCATTTTATCAGATTGCGTTTGTACTTCAAGGGCACGAAGCTGGGAAACTGAGTATACTGACAGTTGGTTGATGTAGGTTTTCTGTATACACTTTTTCTTATTGCGCCATCCTCTTTTCTGGTCATAAGGAAGTCTAGAAATGAAATACTAGAGTCTTTTTCTTTCTCAATAGTAAAATTTATTGCAGGATGAACATCGTTAAATTTATCCAGGATGTTCTTTGCTTCCTTCTCATTTTTCATAATCAAAAGTGTATCATTTATGTACGGCCAGTAGAATTCAAGTTCATCAGTAACAACCTTCAAAGGCCCATTTTCTAGTTTCGCAAGGAAAATGTCGCCTAGAATGGATCCTAATGGTGACCCCATTGCCACACCATCGATTTGCTTATGTAGTTCCTTATTAAATAAAAAGTGGACATTCATTGTGCATTTCAAGAGAAGCTCTTCTATAAATGATATAGGAGTGCCAACATCGATGTTTTGTCTTATGAGTTCTTCGCATACAAAGTCCACTGTTTCCATAAGTGGTACATTGGTGAATAAGGAAGATACATCAAATGATATCATGAATTTATTGTCAACATTTAAATCTTCTATCCTTTCATTTAGCCAAACATTTAAACCAAAGGGTAACAAAACAACTGTTTCGTCCTAGTCTGAAACTTTTTAACAGCACACAGAGATAACTTCACCAAAGATAGCAACTGAGACGTTTGGGTTTTAAATAGCGAACACTGACCATTCAACCACGTGGATGGATTTCAGTGACGCATGAACTGTAACTTCCACCAACTCATGATATCAAAAAAATACTACCACTAGCCAATGTCACCATTGATTATCCTGACTTACACATGTGCTGAGGAATCTTACAGGCCTTGATAGAACTATAGGAAGTCAATTTTGCTTAGATTATGTGTGCTTCAAAATAAAATCGATATTCAAGGGGAGTGTCTTTGACTACAATGCAAAGAAAACTTGCAACACTGACGAAGTCGAAACAGTAAACCTTGAGTTATTAATCCATTTAGCTACTAATCAACCTGTAAGACGAATTTATTGATCAGGTCTTCTTTTCACGCTAGACAATCTGTACTCTACCAAACTATTGCACTAGTGATACTTTATAATAAAAGAAATCATAGAAAGATTTGAAAAGACGGTTTCAACAAAGAAAGTTTTCTTCTCAATGAAGTCATCAACTAGGCTGTACAATCGTTTGGAAACTATTTCCGGTTGAGGGTCAAATTAAAAATCCCTGTTTGTAATCTTGTCAGCATGTTACTGTTGTCAGAAACAATTCCACTAAGTTCTACCACCTACTGCACTCTACTATGTGTTGTGATTTCTTTCCTTTGTGTTTTTTTGTTTTTCTCTTTGTTTTCCAGACAAGAAGAAATGAAGCTGTTCAGACAAGCACACCGAGTACACCGGTTACAAATGATGACAGTTTATCAGATTATAAAATATTTCGACAAAGTTCAATGATTAAAATGCAAACACCGATACCAGTAAGTGGGAAACCCTTTTTTTTAAGTATTGGTTTTGTGTAGGGATTTTGTTTGATTGGATGGAGGAGTTCACTATGAGTTAACATCAGTTAGACAACCACTGGAAAACCACTAGTGAGTACTGGACAGCTGTTTCGTCCTAGTACTTGGGACTCTTCATCAGTGCGTATCCACCACAAGGGGTTCGAGCCCAGGACCTTCGGGTTACAAGGCGAGCTCGTAGATCATTCAACAGCCACTGGGACCCGAGCCAATGGCCCATGAATTCTAACTTCTGCCAATCCATGACATAGCGAGACTACTTCCCAATGTCTTCTTCTTCAATGAGTTACTGCCTCGCTTTCAACGTGCTGTACCCTAATGGTCACGGCTTCCCACTAGAGCTCCAGGTCACTGCCTGAATAAGACCAGTCGCTAGTGAGCATCAGATTAATTTTCAAGTATTGGTTTTGCAGGGATTTTTTGTTAGATTGGATAGAGGAGTTCATCATGAGCTGATATCCGTCAGAGAAAACTCTTTTGCCACTGTGTTGCTTTGTTTTTATCCTCTTTGTTGTTGAATATGTCTCTACTCTAATATATTGACGACCTAATTGAAAAGTAGTTGTTTCTTCACTCAGTCCTTTCACTTTGTAAATGTCCAAATCGGGATCCTCTTCTATATTGAATATCTGTCATATATTCAGTTGAACATTATGATTAGTTAATCTAGTGTTGGGAAACAGGTGTAGAACTAGTAAACTTGTGGTGATTAACGAAAGATTTCTGAAGTGCTAAAAGGGAGTACTTGACAAAAGTACTTAGGATTACTCCATTGATTTATAACAGTTTTGTCTATATTTTCCTTTCACCCCTAATTCATGGCTGTATTATGCCTCACCTTTAATGAGCGATAATCATTTAGCTCTGATCAAATATACAAAACAGTGTGAAGCTAGAAAAAGTGTTGTATTTACCATTTGTTCTAAGCGAGTGATGCTGACGTTGGGAGGTCAAAGTTGATGATTTTTAGGAGACATGACTATAAGATTTCAATGGAATTAAACGTGAAATTGTAACTTTTTATTTTATTATTGTTTCCTTTGGTTCTTAAAGGAACACAGGGCTCCAGCCACAAGTCTCCGTTGCGTTCGGTTCTCTGGCTACACGTCTGTCCACATGCTTTCATGTTCTCTTCACATGACCTTCTCCATGTCACCCTCACACTAACAACCAACTCGCAGCTCTCCATTTGGGTTCCACTTGAATGATCGCCTAGCGTGTGATGTCACTTGATGATTTGTTTTCTCAGAGTATTAGCAGCCAATACACCTCCATTTCTGCTTGCAAATCTGTTGCAAAATCGGTTCCTGCTGGGTTGGTTCTCTCCCAGATATCCCTCCCTATTGCTGATCTTTTACGGATGGCCATCTGATCTTCAGTAGTAATGAGCGAAGACAGCTGTTGATGAAAGTCTGTAGTTTGTTCAAAGTGGTCTTCGTGACGCTGCGTGGCGCCAAGTCTCTGATCCGTATAGTAGCACTGGTTTGACATTGAAGTTGAAAATTTGGATCTTATTTTTCATGCTGAGTGCTGTTAATCTCCGCACAGACTTGAGAGAAATGAAAGCTTACCTTGCTTTTACGATGACCCTCACTTTGACATCCTCATCAATTCCGTCCGCCTGTAGTTGAAATGATGCCTCCCAGGTAGGTAGGTGGGTAAAGGATGTCGCTTCTTTCAGATTTCTTTGATTTATGCTGTAGCTTATGAACAATGGTCTTGGTTTATGTGTCATTCCGATATTCCGAGCTGAAAAAAATGGGAAGACAGGAAAATAAACCACAAAACTATTTCACCATCTTTAAACAGATACGAGTCTGAACTTATGTAATTCATTTAAACCCGCTTTATAGATGTGCAGATATTTTGTGTCATCCGCTTACACAAATCTGGAATAGATCATTTTGCTAAGAATACCACCATACACCTTGATTGGTTGAAAATAAACTCTGTAAATCGTTATCTTCTGAATCAGCTTTATATCACAAGCCAATCATCATAGGGCATCCACTTTTAAAAGCCAGAGTAAAAACTTCTCTTTCTTCTTTGTAAACCCTCATTAAAATCATTTAGTAACCCGAATTAGTATAGTATATAGGTAGAGTATATATATAAGTAGATACGAGGATTGATCATTCGAGTGTCTTTAGCGTTAGTGCTAACTCTTCTAGTCTCAAGAGCAGCTTCACTAGTCAATGACAAATAGACTGACTTAATCGATTTTGAAATAGGACTTCTGTTCACTTACATTAACATACTCATAATAGAGATATGCCTGCATAAGGATGTAACATATCAACAAATCTGGATTTCGCAGATGATTTATGTCTAATGTCACACAAACTGGGAGACTTGCAAGCGAAAACCAACAAACCGGCAGAAGAGGCTGGCTAGCAACGAATACAGGACTGCAGGTGAACAAAAGGAAGACGGAGGTGATGAAGATAGCCAATCAACAGCAACAACAATCAGCACTAATCACCATCAACGGGAGAGATTTAACAGAGGATGCCTCCTTCACTTATCTGGCCAGGAAGCATCATTTGAACTACGGGCAAAATGGACGAAGATGTCAAAATCTGAATCGGAAACGCAAGATACACATTCTTCAACCTGAAACCAGTTTGGAAATCTTCCGCATTCAGCATAAGGAACAAGATTCGGATTTTCAACACCAATGTGAAGTCGGTCCGTGCTTCTAGATGGGTCAAAAACTTGACCAGCGTGTCACGAAAAGGATTTTCAACAGGCTATGGCAGACTTTTATCAACAGCTGCCCCATTCGCTGGCTCCATACTGAAGATCAAATGGCCAACCAGAAAGAATAAGCAACGAGAATCTTTGTAGTTGAACAAACCAGCGAGGAGCCAGTCACTCAACAAATATGTAATAGAAAATGGAGGTGGATGGATCGGGTATACATTGAAGAGACCACCGAATGACATCGCACACCAGGCCACAGCTCGAGTGCGATCCCAATGGGAAGCGACGAGTGGGTCATTGGTGAGAGGCTGACACGGAGGAGATGGTGTGGCGGAGAAGAGATGAGAGAGTTTGGTGAATCGTGGACCCAGCTGAAGAGGACGGGAGAGAGTGGGACAAAGTGGAGATGTATTGTTGAAGTCCTATGTTCCACTCGGAACGCAAGGGAATAATAATAATGCCAACAGATATGTACTGAGAATAAGAATAATTACAGTGAACAATTGTTTTCACTAACTTTCTTCATCAAACTCCATTGTTATGTCCCTTTACATCTTAACGATTCTCTGTTTTGCCGTTCTTACACCCATCCATCCAGTTTACACCGTTTTCTTCTTATTATTATTATTGTTTGTCATCCTTTGAATTTACACTAAGCCAATCCTATGTCTTTATTACTTCATAACAGTTTGCTGATCATACCACCATGTTCACACAACAGTATCATTATTATTGTATCATTTCTAAGAGTATTTGTTTTGCTTTCGAAGTTAAATACAATGCATAACTGAAACAGTATTATTACATACTGGATGACAAGGTTTTGAACACAATTTATTATTGTTCATAATCATATCATCAATTATAATCAGACGACTTCGAAACTTGAGTTGCATAGTTTTCTTTGTTTTCTCCTATTTATCGTCATTGGGGTGGTGGAATTTTCCAGATATCTGGGACAGGGACAGGTGTTGAATCATTCCTATTACATGTATTTTCAGTTGATACGATAACCAAAGCTTCCCTTATCAATCACTCCCTCCCTCCACTATGTTACTTTAGATTTTAAAAGTGCCATTCTATCCCATCTATGCTATTGTATGATTGTGTGTAATTGTATGTAGTGCCATCTTCGGCTGAACTATTCTCTAGATTTCTTATCTTATTTAGGTAAACCAATCTAGATTTTGCTGCTAGGTTTTTATGCTCCACTAGTCTGACTGCACCTGTTGTACTACTATGACCTATGTATTTGACCTGACAATCATTGTTTTGTTTTAATGGCTCCATAGGATTGATCCTTTAACCGACAAAGCATGTTTCTAACTGAGTTTGTGGATGGTTTGAATGCCAGCCACTTTTATTCCTGCCTGTCATGTTAAGAATTCTGCATAAAGTTTCCTAGGTTCCTTCCTTGTATGGAATTACTACTGATGATTTAGATTCCTTATTGTTAGTGTTGTCATTATCCTGCGCACGTTTGACATGCATGTCGTCAGTAATATTACTACTACTACTATTATTATTATTATCACTATCACTGCTGTCATCTAATAAACAAACCAATACGGAATTACTTACTACCACAATGCCCACGTTTTACACATATACCAATGCATAACATTTATCTGTTTAATTCTTCGTAGTATCCTCTCATCCCGCTGACTATGACTCACCCTTTGAAACTTATAATTATTCAAGTGTTGTCTTGCAGGGATTCAATTTTGATTAGTTACAGGATTTCATCATGAGCTGACATTGATTAGAGAACCATTGGAAAACCAGCCACAGGGAGTACTGGACAGCCAGCAAGCATTTTCGTCCCAGTTTAGCACTCTTCATCAGTATGCGCCCAACTCCTCCAGGGTTCGAATCCAGCATAATAGATTCACTACTGTATATTTCATATGCACAAAAAGATAATAAATAAAACCAACCACCTATTTCTAATTCCATTTTAATGCTATCAGAATATACTTTCTGGCATAATTATAATCGCCTTCTCTGGGCATTGTTTACTTAACAATAATCGTTTTATAACTGTAGAGCTTGCTGACCAAATTACTGAAGACAACTGCTCGTTATGACTATTCTTGTTCTCAATAAATTGCGCGAATATTCACCTATTTATCGGTTTTATATATGGTAAATCAACACGGAGGGAATATCAAGAATTCTACCAATAATGCATAATACCTAAGAATATATATATAAATATATATATATATGATTTTTGTTGGTTTAATCTTTTAGACAAGAATGTCCACCTCCTCGCCATTCGATACAAATGATCTAAACATGAGTGGATCTTTGCGATCAAGTAGTAGATCATCAATGTTAACAAGACAAGATTCCACTGATATTTCCAATGAGATGGTAACACCTGACTATGCATCCCTATCATTTCATTCATCCTGGGTGTCAAACAATGAAAGTGTAACCAGACCATCACAATTAAATCATATTAATAACGATAATAATAACAATAATAATAATAGTATGAATATGAATATGAATAACAATATTAGTAGATCACAGGCTCGTTTTTCATTGTCCAGATCACGTTCATATGATGCAGAATTATTGAAAAGACACTCCACGACTAATGCTCCTATTACGACTATCAATAATAACATTAATAATAATAACACTAATAGTAGTAATAATAGTAATAATAATGATAGTAATTCAATTGATAAGTCAGCAATTACATCATTGCGTCAATCCAAATCCAATTCTCATTTACACAGTCGAATGGATCAATCACCTAAAAGTAACTTTCGTCGGGGTATTTTGACTGCACCAATTGAAGAAGAGGATAGTGAAGACGCCATCAATGATGATAAGTCAAACGAAAAGAAATTATCAGTGAAAAAAACTAGTAAGTTCCTATAAGTATAAAATTTGGGCACTGTGGGGTGGTGGTAGAGTATAACTCCATTATGGATAAGATTTTATTTTGATAAACTGTCACACAGTGTTTGTTATACAGTAATCTTAACTTATGACCACGTTTCGAGCACAAACTATTGCCACTTATAATCACGTCAAGTCACTCACACAACATTTTTGCTTCATTCATATTCATGTATGGAATTGATGATTACACGTTTGAATAAAAATCAATATAGGATAATATACATTCAGAAATAATAATATGAGTGTTATTGATCAAATACAATCAGATGAGAAATAAGACGAGTGTTTTTATAGTCAAAATAAATGAGTAACTTGTTAGAATGTTATGATGATGATCCCGAACTCAGTCATCGGACAAAGCTGCCCATTGAAGAAATTATTTTAGGAATTCAGTTATGCCTCACATTTAATGTCTTTAAACTTCAGGGCAAAATATATAGACAAACAGACGGTGTAGCAGTGCGATGGGATCACCAATATCCCCTATCGTAGCAGATATGTTTATGGATGACACCTAGGAAAATATTGCTTTAAATACATTATATCCTACTCCAAAGATAATATGGTGGAGATGTGTGAATGACACTTTCAAAGTCTTAAAAAACAAAACATATCTCGCTCTAGCTTCTTAACGCATATAAAATCACTAGTGAAGGGAATACAATTCACACTTGAATCGGAAAAATAAAACGAACGGAAGAAGGTAATTTGCACACAAACGTTTAAAAAAAGCCAATGCATTCTGCTAATAGATATTTAGACTTCTTTAATTCATCTCATCCGTTATCTATCTGTGAAGGCAGGCTTAGTTAAGTGTCTAACAAAAATAAGCAATAATACTAAGTAGCACGAAAAAGACCCGGTGAACCCAATTAAACAAAATAATATCATTTACAAAATACCCTGCAATGACTGTGAGTTAAGTGAACTACATAGGTCAAACTAGTAGGTCGGGGGTAATCAGATTGTCGGAACACAAGAATTTAGTTAAGGTAAGAATGGTTGACCCCACCCGCGAAGATAAGTAATTTAGAAAAAAGCTCATCACTGCATTGCACTGCATGCATTAACACACAAACACACAATAGGGTGGGAGAGGGTTAAAATTCTACGAAGTAATCTATGTAGGTGGAGAGAGAGATTGATTACTGAATTCTGCCTGATTCATCGAGTCTACGCACCCAACACAACACATGCAAAAGAAATGACTCAATGCAAATACCAGAGATATGCATGGAAGATATTATTACCACCAGTCAGTCAGATAATAAATAATCTAAAAAATTCTATTTCAATTCACGCACATCATAACATTCTAACAAGTTACTTATTTTGATCATCTGATTGTATTTGGTTCATAACACTAATATTCTTATTTCTGAACGTACATTATCCTATATTGATTTTTATTCAAATATCTAGTCAAGTCCACTCATGTATACAAATGAAGTAAAAAGTTGTGTGAGTAGTGAGTTGATATGATTATGAGTGGCAATAGTTTGTGCTCGCGCTGTGGTCATCAGTTAATATTACTTATTGTATAACAAACACTGTGTGATTTATCACAATAAAATCTTGGTAAGTTCCTTCCCAAGACATTTATATATACACCTCACTCCATATGAAATCCATCTACATTAATGGAATATTTTTTTTTGATTTCAGTGAGATGAAACTTAATGTGTTCAATTAAATTGAACAATAATTATTGAAAGAAATTTAAATAATTTTATTTATAGGATTTTCATTATGAGCTGACATTAGTTAGAGAACCATTGGAAAACCTGCGAGTACTGGACAGCTGTTTCTTCCTAGTTTGGGACTCTTCATCAGTACGCACCCACCGGGATTCGAACTCAGGACCTTCTGGTTACAAGGCGAGTTCGTATACCATTAAGCTACTGGGATCCGATCCAATGGCCAACGCATGAATTCTAACTTCTGCCAATTCACGACATAGCGCGACCCCTAACCAATGTCTTCGGCGAGTATTTGTCCTCACGCCCGACCTGCTGCACCCTACTGGTCACGACTTCTCACTAGAACCTCAGGTAACTACCTACTTGAATAGGGCAAGTCGCTAGTGAGTCCCAAACTAGGACGAAACAGCTGTCCAGTACTCCGAGGTTTTCCAATGGTTCTCTAACTAATGTCAGCTCATGATGAAAATCCTGTAACCAATCAAATCCCTACAAACCAACACTTGAATTTTATTTATGTAATAGGAACACTTTGAAATGAAAACAAGAGAAATTAAAATTCTACCTTAATTTTTCATAGAATATATAAAAATCCAAAAAGAATCATAAATAAATTTAAAAGACCTTTCCCTTTATTGGCCTTACTCAACGTAAACAGCTAGTCTGTACTGCTTCATGAGAGAGTTCATGTGGATGACAGTGTATAGCACTGAAATCCAAGACGCCTATTTTATCCCAGTTAGGATTCGTCGGCTGCATGTATTTACATTTCCATTGAGTGGCAGTATTCCCCCCCACACCTGAAAATCAAATCCATCACTCATTGTTTCAGTGGCTAATATCTTGTCTACTAACTAGATCTCTGAGCCACAAAACTCATTTCTTGTGACATGGACATCGGTGAAGTAAATTTGAATTTCCAGTCGATTGATTTATATCTGAATCAAATTTCTGAGATGCTAATTTACTTAGGTGATGAGTCCTAAATCAGACGAAGCGCTCATGTTATATTCTGTTGCTAACCACTATCACTCAAATGATATCATTTTAACGATTAGGAATCATCGAAGTATCCATCCTTGCAACCGAAATGTCAGTAGAGCACTTAGAATGAAAGCCATGATGATGATAATTTCTGCTTCAATATTCTGTTCACCAAAAGGTAGTAGTAGCTGGCATTGGAGTTAAAATGTCTCGTTTCACTTGACTTTGATCTCATCATCAACAGGGCTGAAGTATTTTCCAGTCAGACCTTTGGGCGCTGACTTCAAGTTTTATTGAGTGAATAAAGAAACATTGGGCGATACAGGTGGTGACAAGCAGACTCCAACCACCGGATGTATTTCCACTATGTGTATCAGAAAATTTTATGTGTCATAACTTTTAAAAATAATGACATAAAAATCTGATTATCCGGTGTGTTCATCGGAGGCTCAATTCACCAGATAGGGCATAAAAATGAATATATAGATTGGTTACAGGATTTCATCATGAGCTGACAACGATTAGAGAATAATTAAAAAACACCGGAGTACTGGACAGCTGTTTCGCATCCATAGAGGTTGGGACCCAGGATCATCCGATGACAGTGACTAGTAGTCGCACTATATCGTAAGTTAGCAGAAGATTGAATTCATGGGCAATTGCATCATGTCCCGGTGGCTTAATGGTCTACGGACTTGACTGGTAATCAGAAAGTCCCGGGTTCAAACCCCAACGGATGTGTGCTGTCTGTAAGCCGCCATCCAGTACTTCCTAGTGGTTTTCCAGTTGATGCTGAAATCCTCCTGAAACCCATCAAATCCCTGCGAACCAACACCTGAATATACAGATGTTGACAAACTTACATAAAATGTTTCACAATAACAGATTCATTCAAATCACCAGATTTCATAACACCACACAAGAAAAGAAAAGATCTCTGATAGTTTTTGTAGTAACAAGAATTACATGAAGACTGATGAATACTTTCCGAATCTACAAGATGATCAGGGGTGAATGAATTGGCATCATTTTGAACGGTATTATGCCATATTACTTAATAGGTGATGGGTGTTACTGGTATCTAAGAGGTGAGTTTCGTTTCTTTTTCACTCGTCAATTGGATGCACATGAATCACAATGAGTGACAGTGTTCTGATTTAGAATGAAAACCAGCACAAACTGTGTTTATTTTTTTTTAACTAATTTCTCCAATTATCGATTTATAGTAGCCCGAGTAACTGACTGTTTGTTCATCATGATGAAGTGACTGCAAACTGGTAGCTCGACGATAAACTCGTAACTTGAGAGATCTAGATTCCATCTTAAACTGGGTCATAAACAGTCTGTTACGAGAATCTGTTACGGATCATCATTGAACAAAGCTTGGAATGGCAGTCACCTCTCTGTCTCAACTTCATCGACTTTGAAAAGGCCTTTGACAGCGTCGATCGAGAGGTGATTTGGAAACTACTTCGCTACTACCGGGTGCCACCGACAATTATACATCTCATCCAACAGTTGTACGACAGTGCTGCATGCCAAGTAATCCACAACGGGAAACTTACGGAATCCTTCGAAGTGAGGACAGGAGTAATACAAGCTGGCTCCCTACTATCGCCAATGATTTTCCTGATTGCAGTAGACTGGATAATGCGACAAACAACGGGCAATGAGGAAACAGGCAACAATGGACTCACACAAAAACTTGAAGGATCTGAACTTCACCGATGATATGTATCTGATTTCCCACAAACTGGAAGATATGCAAGCGAAAAGCAACAAGTTGTCAGAAGAAGCATCAAAGATAGGACTTCAGTTGAACATAGAGAAAACAGAGTTGATGAAGATTCCTGGGAAACACCACCAACAGCAACAACAGACAACAATCAGCATAAATGGAAGGAACTTGAAAGAAACAACCTCCTTTACCTACCTGGGAAGCACCGTTTCAACTACAGGCGGAACTGACGAGGATATCAAAGCAAGAATCGGAAAGGCAAGACAAGCTTTCACTACTCTCAAGTCTGTGTGGAAGTCAGTAGCACTCAGCATCAAAAATAACATCCGGATTTTCAACTCCAATGTGAAGTCAGTGCTACTTACTATATGTACGAATCAGAGACTTGCACTGTGCGTCATAAAGAGCATCTCAAACAAACTACAGACCTTCATTAACAGTTGTCTTCGCTCAATACTACTCAAGATCAGATGGCCGGCCAGAAAAGATCAGCAACAGGGATCTTTGGGAACGAACCAACCAGGAACCGATTGTGAAACA